TCCATCCCTCCATCGTCTCCATCATCTTCATCCCTCCATCGTCTTCATCATCTCCATCCCTTCATCATCTTCATCATCTCCATCCCTCCATCATCTCCATCCTTCCATCATCTTCATCATCTCCATCCCTTTATCATCTTCATCATCTTCATCCCCCCATCATCTCCCACCGTTCCATCATCTCCATATCACCATCCGCCCATGATCTTCGTCATCTCCATCCCTTCCATAGTCGCCATCCCTTCCATCACCTCCATCCCTCCATTACACCATTCCTCCATTTCTGGCCCTTCCATCTTCTTCATTATCTCCATCCCTCCATCCCACCATCTCTTCCATCATCTCCACCCCTCTATCACAGCATCTCTTCCATCATCTCCATCCCTCCATTTCCAGCCCTTCTAGCATCTCCATCACACCATCACCCCATCATCTACATCATCTCCATACCTTCCATCATCTCCATCCCTCCATCACACCATCCCTCCATCATCCCCATCACACCATCCCTTCATCATCTCTATCCTTTCCATCATCTCCATCCCTCCTTCCATCATTTCCAGCTGTTCCATCATCTCCATATCACCATCCCCCCATCATCTTCATCATCTTCATCATCTCCATCCCTTCCATCGTCTCCATCACAGCATCTCTTCCATCATCTCTATGCCTCCATAATCTCCATCACACCATCCCTCCATTTCCTGCCCTTCCATCATCTCCATCACACCATCCCCTCTATCATCTCCATCCCTCCATCATTTCCATCACACCATCCCCTCTATCATCTCCATCATCTCCATCACGCCATCCCCTCTATCATCATCATCCCCATACTTTCCATCATCTGCATCCCCTCCATATGTCCATCACACCATCCCTCCATCATCTCCATCCCTCCTTCACACCATCCCTTTTATCATTTCCAGCCCTTCCATCATCTCCATCCCCTCCATATTTCCATCACACCTGCCCTTCCATCATGTCCATCACACTATCCCTCAATCTTCTCCATCCCCTCCATCATCTCCATCCATCCCATCTCCTCATACCTCCACCACCTCTGTCCCCTTTTCATCCCTTCCATCCCCTCCCTCCCTGCCAAGGCTGCTCTGTTCCACACCCAAACCACCAGCAGCTCCGAGCTGCGCTGGGGCTGATCCCTGGGGGATCAACAGACCCCAACTTTCCCGAGGGAAATTCACCTTTTTTGCTTTTTTTTGTTGTTTTTTTTTTTACGGGAAATCGTGGAAAACTTGGGATTTCATGATGCCCGGCAACGGGAACAAAACATCCCCCGTGGCTGGCTCTGACCTACTGATTCCAGGTTTTCAGGGACAGAAAGCTATTCCCAATTTTTAGTGAAGCCCTGAACTGATCCAGGGCATCACCTTCCTGCCTTTTCATGGGAGAAAGACCAGAATCAGCTCCCTTTGGGATGAAAATACTGCCCAGTGCCCCTGGAGTCACAGCCCACACCCCTGTGGCAGCACGTTTCTCTCCCTCTCCGGATTTTCATAGAGGAGCACAGAGAGAAATGAAAGAGAAAACAATTTCTGTTTCTGCTCCTTGTTTTTCCCATGTGGAATGTGCTTGGAGAATTGTTTACCTGGGGTGATGCTTGGTTGGATTCTGGTGAGGATTGTTTGAGCCTGATGGCCAATCCAATCCAATCCAATCCAACTCAATCCAATCCAACCCAATCCAATCCAACCCAACCCAACCCAATCCAACTCAATCCAACCCACCTGGAGCTGGACTCTCAGAGTGGGTCACAAGTTGAGTGAGAGTCAGAGAAAGTAGTTTGCAGTTTTAGTATCCTCCTTTAATAGAGTATATTAATGTATTTTAGCATAGTTATAATAAAGAAATAATTCAGCCTTCTGAATTGAGTCAGTCATCCTCATTTCTCCCCATTGGGCTTGCCTGCTTTTACAATACACCAACTCAGATTTTTAAGGATGACAGAGCAGCATAGGGTGTTCCCCCCCCCCCAAAAAAAAATTTATTTCCCAGTGGAATAAAATTCAGAAAGCGACTCAAGAGATGTTCATGTGAGTATTTATTGGGTTAGAAACGTGGTGTGGTTTCCATCCCAGCTGCATTCCAAGCGGGCACAAACAGGCAGGAATTGCTGCTGCGTTCGCCATGAGGCTTCACCTTCCCGCTGGCTAAAGCTGAGCGTGGCAAAGGCACCTCCTGCACTCCTGAAAGCCTTGCTCCTTAGCCTGCATACAGAAATCTATTGCTTGATAAAGAAAAAAACCCTGATATTAAAAAAGGCAGCAAATGCAGGGTTAGTCTGAAAGCCAGCAGTGTCCTACAGTTCCTTTTTGTCCCTTTCCCGGTCCTTTGAGATTTTCCAGGAGGCTCCATGTTAGGATTGATTTAAAATCTCAATTTGTGAGTGGCTCCGCTGGTGGATTTTTGTTTTTTCAATCAGTAGGAACACTCAGGAATTCACTCCATGAGTTCACATTCAAGGAATTTGGCTGTGTGGGTGCACCCAGGGTGGGTCCCCTCGAGGAGAGTCCTGCTGAAGGCTCCAGAACCTTCCTGAAGAACCCAATCCCAGCGGCACAAGGAGCTGGAAAAGAGGAGTTCACCCCGTGGGATAAGGCTGGGCAGGATGCTCCGAGAGGAACCTGCAGGTTTCATTTCTGTTTGGATGGAAGGAGCTGTTTGTGACGGGTGGAGAACATCCCACCACACCCTCCCCACCACCAGCTGGACTTCTCCAAGAGGTCTCTGGGGAGCATCCGCGTGGGAAGGGCTGATGGAGCCCCACAAGAGCCCCACAAAGCCCAGCTGCCAGCGCCAGGAGAGGAGCCATCCTCCGGAGGGGCAGAGCGTGCGCCGCCCCGAGCGGCTCACGGAGCGCTCCCGACGGGAAAACGCGGCCGGATCTGGAAGGCCTCACACTTCTTGTACTTCATGGTCAGTCCGTACTGGGGGGTGATGTCCACGCGCTCCCCGGGCCGCAGGCTGAAGTGCAGCTGCTGCAGCAGCGTGGTGAGGAAGAGGAAGATCTCCCAGCGGCCGATGGTCTCCCCGATGCAGCGCCGCTTGCCCAGCCCAAAGGCCAGCACCTTCTCGCTCTCCGGCCGGCTCAGCTCCGTCCCCGCCGCGCTCAGGAACCGCTCGGGCCTGAAGGCTGAGGGCTCCTCCCAAAGGCTCCTGGGACACAGAGGGGACACTCCTGAGGGGGCGGTTTGGGGACGTAACAGCTCGGCCAGTGCCACCCCTGCCGTGACAGGGACGCCTTCCACCATCCCAGGGTGCTCCAAGCTCTGTCCAGTCTTGCCGAGGATCCTGGCACAGCCCCAGCTGCTCTGGGCACTGTGCCAGGGCCTGCCACCCTCCCAGCCAGAAATTCCTTCTCAATATCCAATCCATCCCTACCCTCTGGCAGTGGAAGCCATTCCCTGTGTCTTGTCCCTCCATCCCTTGTCCCCAGTCCCTCTCCAGCTCTCCTGGAGCCCCTTCAGGCCCTGGCAGGGGCTCTGAGGTGTCTCAGATCCCAGCCCCAGAGCAGAGGGCTCCAGCCCTTGGGAACCCCAAGTTTTGACCCCTGCAATGGGGTCAGTGACCAAAAGCCCTCCTTGCAGAGAGGAGCTTCGCAGCGCTGTCTCACGCCACCACCCAAAGCTGCCCTTGGCAAGCTCTGGCCCCGATCTACAACACCGTGACCGTGTCAGACTCCATCAGCTCCACCCTTTGAAACCTCTGCTCCAGGCTCGGGCTGTTTGCCCAGGCAGACACTGGGGATGGATTTCATTCCATCCGTTTAATCCCAGCAGCCAGAGAACCTGCAGCTTCAGCACTGGGATCAGCCGGCAACCCTTCAAACAGGAGAAACGGGGACAATGGAGTTTTCCCTTTGTCTACTCTCTCAGCAGAACTTCCCAGTCTGTCCCAGTGCAGCTGCTGGGAGGGTGCCAGGTGGGATTTTACAGACTCTCAGCTGGGAATTTCTGCTGGGATATGCGGAATCCTCTCTGCCCCAAGCACAGCATTCCCACCCCACGCTCACGCAGGAGCAGGAGGGATATCAGAACGTTTCTGGCCTCTTGGGCTGTTTGGAGATGAACAACTTGAGCTTTGACCCAAAACACCCGTCTAGGAACCCGCTCCTGGAGCAAGCCCTAGCTGCCTCCCTGCTGGAATGTCTCTTCAGGGAAGCAGTGGAGGGGCAGGATGGGGCTCTGCTTCCCAGTCCCCCATCACTCCCAAAGCTGTAGTTGTGATTCCCCCATCAGCAACCCCAGCACGGGCCCATCGAGTTGAACGGGGTCACGTCATCACATTTTTCTCCCTTAAAAAGGGGACTGAAAAATTCCCATCGAGCACATCCAGAGCCATCAGCTCGGGTCACAGGATCTGCTTGGCAGCAGGATTTTCCGATTCCTGACTATCCAGCAGCCTGAGCCTCCACATAAACCAGGTAATCGCTGGTGCTGGGGAGCTGCTGAACCGGGGGCCAAGTCAAGCTGGAGCAGCTCCATGCCCAGCAGAGCCAAGGATGGGCTCAGCATCACACCCACACCATTTTTGTTCCAATCTGCCCTTTTGTACACAATCCAGTCGTTTTTTGGCACGAGGGCTGGCGTGATCTGAACGCCAAGAGCAGCCAGGGCAGCCTGGATGGGCAGGGAAGGTTTGGGATACTCACTCGTCGTGGTTCACTTGCCACTGGTTGATGAACACGCAGGTGTCCTTGGGGATGTAGAAGCCGTTCAGCACCGTGGCTTTTGTTGTGCTGAAGGGAACACGGGTGGAAAAAGAAGTTAGAGGAGACCCACAGCTCCTGACAAGTCAAAGCCAGGCGAGTCCTGCAGGGGTTTAATCTTCAAAGCCCAATTTATGCCCTTAGGACTGGCTAGGAAATACCCCAAATTGTATTTGGGAGGTTTAATGGTCTTGGTTTCACTTTCCTCCAGCAGAAAAATTCCAGTTTCACTTCACAGCTCATTCCAGACAGGTTGTGATGTGGTTCCTCCCAAGGCAAGAAGAAATATAAACCCAGGGGTGTTCTGCCAGCAAAGGTTTGTGGGATGAAACCACCCTCAAAACAAAAGATTCAACCCCAGAATGGCAACAAGCTGGAATATTTCCCCCTTACAGGGATCAAATCCCTTCCAAAAACCTGAATCAGGTGTCGGCCGCTCCAGCCCGTACCTGTGTGGGATGGTGAAGGGCAGGAAGGAGGAATGCCGGAACATCTCCAGGATAAAGGCTTCCGTGTAGGGCAGCGTGCCCCGGTCCGACAGCCGCGGCCGCCTCTCCCGCCCAATGGTCCGGTCTGGGGGAGGTGGATCAAGGTCAGCATCAGGGCCGAGCAGAGAGATTTTGGCCCCTCATGTGGTGCATGGACTCACCCAGCTCTTCATGGATCTTCTTCTGGATGTCAGGGTACAAGGCAGCGTACATGAGGCTCCAGGACAGGGCAGTGGCCACAGTGTCAAAGCCTGGATGGGTGTGGAGGAGGCATTTAGTGACCACAAGGGGACAGGTGAGCGGGTGTTTCAGATTCCACCCCTCTGGATGTTTGTTCCCCCATCAGCTGCCACCAAAAATTGCTCAGGAGGGCGCCCGGCAGCAGCTCCACACACCCAGAGGTGGCCAAGGTGTCCACCCAGCAGCTCCATGTCCCCACCCAGCATCCAGCTTTGGGATTTGTCCCAAAGATCGAATGGTGCCCTCAGAAACGTTCCCACCTGCCCCAAAGAGGTCATTGACGATGTGAATGATCTTCTCATTGGAGAGCTGGACATGGGTGTCCTCCCCAACGCTCTTCTCCTGGCAGTGCCCGATCAGCGAGTCCGTGATGTCCCGGATGTGCTCCTGGGGAAGAATTCACACAATTCACAGTGACCAGGATGGAGGAGACCTTGGAGATCATCGAGTCCAACCCATCCCCAGCACCTCAGCTGAGCCCTGGCACCCAGAGCCACATCCAGGCTTTGTTAAACACAGCAGGGATGGGGATCCACCACCTCCCCGGGCAGAACATTCCAGAACTGTATCAGGGATCCAGGGATGGGCATCCACCACCTCCCCGGGCAGAACATTCCAGAACTGTATCAGGGATCCAGGGATGGGGATCCACCACCTCCCCGGGCAGAACATTCCAGAACTTTATCAGGGATCCAGGGATGGGGACTCCATTCCAGAACTTTATCAGGGATCCAAGGATGGGGACTCCATTCCAGAACTTTATCATCCTTTCTGTAAATAACTTTTTCCTAAAATCCAACCTGTATTTCCCTTGGTGCAGCTTGAGGCTGTGTCCTCTGGTTCTCTCAGTTCCTGGAGACAGAGCCCAGCCCCACCAGAGCACAGCCACCTTTCAGGAGGGACACCATGGACACACAGGGATGGGGAAATCTGCCTCAAACGGCTCAGGGTGTGGGGAAATCACTGCAGCCCAGAGACCTTTACTGGGCAAGGCACAGGCTTGGAGCTCTGGATGCTGAGAATTTTAGACTTTCTGTGCTGACAGACTCTGACTCCCAGGAGAGCTCTGCATTTGACCTGAGACCATGGGGAAGGCTTCCAACATTGATTGATGGCACTGGGATTGTGGGTGTGTAGTCGATTAGAAGTGTGTATTGTCACAGGGTGGAAAACTTAGAGTTTGGGGTTTTAGAATATAGTGACATATATAGAGAAAGTTGGAGGTTTGAGGGCGGAGGCTGGTTGTTCTTCTTTACCTTCTTCTACCTTTGTCTTCACGGGTTTGGGTGGTTTTAGTAAGTTTGTAATTAGGTGTCATTTCTTAATTGGAGAGTTTAGCCTTAAAAGACCTTGTACCAAGAGATGGTTGCTAATTTTGTGCCTTGTTAATGAAAGGCTGCAGAACTCACACGTAACAATGATAAGGAATAATAAAAACCTGAGCCTGAACATGAACTATCACCTCAAGTGCCTTCAATCCCAGCTTCGACAGAGGAACAAAAAGGAAGCCAAAAACCAGCAGCAGGGCACACTTGAAGGCATCTCCAAGAACATACAAGAGCAGCCAAGCCCTTACCTTATCAAAGCTGCTGTAATGCTCCTGAACAATTTTCTGCACGAAGGCGTTGAAGCGCCGGTTGACATCCTTGAAGAGCTGCATGGTGCGGCTCGGGAGGTAGCGCAGCAGGGGGATGAAGTCAGCGGGGTGGCCGCTCCCGGCCACCTCCCCAAATTCGTTGCCCAGGTTCACCAGGCTGAGCAGCTCCTGGTCCTCGTGCTCGTAGCGCTTGCCAAAGCACATGGCACAGATGACGTTGGCCACCGACACCACCAGGTACTGGTTAAGGTCAAACCTCCTCCCGTCCTCCATCAGCCGCAGGAACTTGGTGACCAGGTACTCGGCCTCCTTGGAGACGTGCTCCTCCAGCAGGCAGCTGCAGGACGAGGTGGGGCTGGGGGCGATGGAGAAGCTCTTCAGGGCGCTCTGGGCCAGCTTCCTGCGCGCTTTCCACACCTCGCCGGAGTCGGGGCTGAACGCCAGGCTCTGCCCGTCCGCGACGAAGCGGAAGCTGTAGAGGTCGGGGCGCCCCATGAAGTCGTCTCCTTGCCTGACCAGCGCCTGGCGGATGGTGTCCAGCCCGCTGAGCACCAGCACGGGCCGGCTGCCGATGCGCACCTCCATCACGTCCCCGTAGCGCCGGCCGAGCCGCGTCAGCGCCAGGTGCGTGTCCCCGCGCAGCTCCAGCGCGTTCCCCAGCACGGGGAAGCCCCGCGGGCCCGGCGGCCGCCGCAGCCCCTCGGGCACGGCCCCGGGCGGCCGCAGCCGCCGCAGCGCCAGCAGCAGCAGGCAGAAGGCGGCGGCCGCCAGCAGCGCCTCGCCGGCCGACACCGCGCCGGGGCTCCCCGCCGGCCACGCGGCAGCGCTCGGCATCGCCGCCGGCACCGGGCAGCCCTGAAGGAGGGGAGAGCAGTGACGGCGAGAGCCGCGAGCGGCCGGCGGCTGAGCGCTGCCCCGGCTCCTCACGGCGACGGCAGCGGCAGCCCGTGAGCAGCGCGGGGATGCAGCTGCCCCTGCAGCGCCGGGGGTTCCAGCGGCTCGGCTGGAGACCTGTCAATGTCCCAACACACCCACCCATCCTCAACTGTCCATGGTCCAAACGCACCCACCCATACTTTAAGGGGGACCTCAACCC